AACATGGGGATGATGGATTGGTTCAGAAACCAGTGAGAAAGGGAGGAAGGGGCAGGTGATAGGTACAAAGACTGCTTTGAATCCACGTTTATAAGGGTGTACTGATGTATGATGTCTATTGATTTAAGTAGTAAAGAATTAGAAATATCCTGAATGTCTTGTGGTAGGGTGTATTACATAGGATGCCTGTCAAATTGGCTGGTCACAGGGTTTTGTTGGCGGCTTGTTCCTCGGAATGATTGAAACTGACTTCTTAGGTAGAGTGAATTGAAGTCTTGGAGGACACCTTTCACTCTTTCCATATCCGCTTTGCATTTGTCTGGGTTGGTGCTATTCTCTGGCAGGCTGTCTCACTTGGGCACACAGGGACATCCGTATCTCTAGACTTCCACCCTGCCAATTTAGTGACTATAGCAGGAACGACACTGACTTTGAAAGTGGCTCTGACCGGTCATGGAGAAACCATGAGGGTGGGACTTGGATCATGGGTCTTTCAGCTGACCCTTGGTCAGATAGAGTTTCTCTCTACTAATGCCTATCCCTGGAAGCCTTGAGTGTCAAGGGAGTCTCTGGTCAGGATTGGCTCCACAGTAACCACCTGTAGAATTACATGGGTTGCAAGGAGGATTATGAGTTTCATGAAGGATGCTGGCAGAGCAGAGTCATGGGGCACAGCAAGATTGAATATTGCTGCGTTTTTTACAAGCAGGGATGAGCTGTGCTTACTACCTAGAAAGATATCTGTGGCCCATTGTGTAAGTAGAAAAAGACATTTATAAGAGTAGAAATAATAGGTTCCAATTTCAGTTTCAGGATAAGAAAAAAAATCCCTAAGTCTAGAAAAAAATTAAAAGCCCACTAATTGTGGATATTTCTAGTAGAAAGATGATAAGTAGCTTTTTTTTCCTGTGTTTTTCTCCATTAACTGAAAAAAAAGTTTTACACTGAGGATATTTTCAGTTAAATCAGGAAAACCAATAAATGCATTTGTATTTAGGGAAAGAAAACCTTGTTTATTGCAGAAGTCTCTGCAAAAATCAATGAGGTCTGAGATAAGAAAGATGGAGAGTAGGGAGGGAATAATTGGATTTTCAGAAGCTTACATCCTTGGGACTCAGTGACCAACTGGCTGTCAGGGCTGAGGAGTGAGCCCTTGGTGAAGTAGGTTGTATGGAGGTAATCCAACATTTTTAAAGGTGTTTGGGACTTAGTGGTAGTAAAACAGGCCTTGGATATGTATCCAATTGAAAGAAAGGTCAAATTTGACTTAATAAGAAATTTGAAATTATATTTTAAAAGAAGACACCATTGCTGTTTGGTAGATGGTGCCTACTTGATTTATTAAGCAGCTGGTAAGCCTTGAAAGGGAGAAACTCTACATTGCAACCACTCAATTCGTAGCATGAAATCTGGTTTATAGAATGAGCACTCTAAAAAGACTTGTCATTGAATGAAAATATCCCTGCTAATCTAACTGTATTTGTGTATCCTGTTGTGCTATAGAATGTTAGAAGTTACTACCCAACTGGACCTCTTAATAGTATTTCTTAAAAGGAGTTGTCCCCATAATCTACTCAGGGAATGCATCAAGCCAATTTGTAATCATTTATAAACAGGTACTTCCAAACTGCTTACTGTAGTGCTTATCTTTATAAGAAGCTGATCTACTTTAAGGTCAGTAGAAATGTTTATTAAATCTCCTCTAGTTTGTAGCATGAAAAAAATGCATCCTAGACCCACATACATGTCACAGAAGTTCACAAAACCGTGGTAATCCTGTGTGTGGTGTGTATTCTGTGTCTTTCATGGATATTTTTAGTCTACCTTCTAATGTTTTCCTCTAAAACATGATTTCCCACTATAGTTCAGTATACAGGAAATGCTTGGATTATGAAGCTGTACATTAGAGTGGTGGAAGGACATTGGAACCAGCCATTCTGACTTAATCCCAGCATTGCCCCTTCCTAGTGTGTAGACGGGTAGTTAAGTATTTCTTGTTTTCTTATCTGAACAAACATGTTATGGATTGTTGTGAGGCCAAAATGAATCACTGTAACATACTCAGCCCAGGACTCGGAACATAATCAGAACTCAAAGAGCAGCCTTTTTTTTAAATCCCTTTTGTTTATCTTCTGGGATGTATTGATTACTGAAAGTACAGAACTTCCTGCATCTCATTTAGGATGGAATTTTCTTGATTTACCTTGAAATGTAAATATCCACTCTTAATATAACCTCTACCACAACTAAAGTCCTTGTCCCATCTCAAGCAGAGTGAAAGAAAAAGCTTGGGCTGAGGTTAGGGCTGGATGAAAAGGGCAGTTTTAGACATGTCAGCCTGAACTTGGGGCTTTCAGTGATTGTAAAGCAGTATGAGGAGTGCTTGTCCTAAGGCCAGTGTACTTGCTGCAGACGTTACCAGGCAGGACCAGCTCCTTGGAGGCAAGCCACACTTGGCCTGTGGTTACTTACAATTGACAGCTAGGGCAAGTCCAAGCTGAGTAAACCTTCTCATGAACATGTTGAGGAGGCTCAGTGTCCCATAAGTTCAACTCTGCCTAGAAAAAGACATGAGGGGTCAGACTGGTGCTCAGGCTTGGCTCACTAAATGTGACAGTGCATTTGTAAACATTTGAGCACCTAACACACATGCAGGTAGTGTTCCTCAAGTTAACATTTTACAAAGAGTGAAGGTGAGATAGAAAGTAGTTGGCTAAAGAGTTAGAGGGAAGTTTACATTGTAATTCTCTCTTTGTATAGTCGCAAAGTTGATTGTCACAATGCAGCAGAGCCTGCCTACCCTCACAAGGTTTTGGAATAGTTTATTTACTTCCCATCCATCTTCCCATTCAAGTTATAACCTAGGGGAATCTTTACCACAAAAATTTACACAAATTTGTTTTTTCTTCTGAAAGGGTTAAATGAACATTTTATTTTTGACTACAACTTAGTACAACATGAAATAAGACCCATTGAATATCTTGTGTACTAGATTTTTTCATTTTTCATATAGAGACTAGATAATTGAGTCACAGAATAAGAATACTCTTTAGTCACCACATAAATTTTTTGAAAATAAAAAACACAGTCCCAAAGTTTGGACCATCAGATTCTAGTGTGAAACTTTCAGAACAACAAAAAGGCTTAGGAAGAGACATCTCAAGCTCCCTGGATGACATTTACAGTGCACACAAGGCAGTCTTCTCCTCCCCCATACTCTTTCCAATTCCCTCCCCTCTCAGCTCCTCAAAGAAAAATAGAAAAGCAGCCCTTCCTCTTGTTGGCTGTAGAATTTATTCAGTAATTTACTTTCCAGCCAACTGCAGCCATTGCCCTTGCCTCTGGGCACTTGTTCAAAAATGCAGAAATGGAATAACAGATTGGCCAGACCTAACACAACTCCCTAGTCACAACCCTATTATCTCCTCGTTCTGTCACCCCCATTAGGCAAAGGCCTGGGAGACTGGATGGTGACAGCACAGTATTTATGCAGCCCGCACATCTCCATGGCTCCAGGCTCTCTGCCAACATCCCTCTTCCTCTTGTTTCTCCCTGCGCATAACCAAGGAGAATGGAGCTGGAGTGTTGAATTCGTAGGCCTGTGCTGCAGACCACCTCTGCACAGCTTAGAGGCTTCTGTGCCAACTTTGTGCCTGGGAAAGGTCTCCCTCGTCCAGGAAAACTAGGACAAGACAAAGGGATTCACCTCCCCGTGTGTTACCACCCCTCTGTGAATGGAAGTGGTGGAAGCTAGAGTGTATGGATCTTACTAAATGACAAGTATGTCTCAATTACCAGGGGAAATTTGGTTTACTGTTATTTATAGCTGCCCAATTCAGGTCAAACCAAACAGAGAAGTTGCTTCATTTAATATCAGCTGTGTGGCCTCTGCTGGGCCATCTTCTGAAAAACTAATTTCTCTGGACAGGTTGAATGTAGAGAAGAGGGTGTCTAATCAAGAGAGAATTGTTTTCTGATTGTCACCTCTGGTGAAACTCCTTTTAAAACCTTATACCTGAGATGCAAATGTTTGAGGTAGCTGTAGGATACCTCTTGCTTGGTGAAGTGTTAAAATAGAGAAGTTGTAGACTCCATGATCAGGGAAAGCTAGAAGAAACCTTTTTTTTTCTTTTTCCTTTCCTTCCACAATAGTCTACCTTGTAGCCACTGTTCCTTTGTAGTGGTTGGCTTTTTGGAGTGGTTTATACCTCAGTGATCTTTGCCTCTTATTTTGTGTTCGTTTCATGCACTTGTTCAGTATGACCCCTTAATCACAAGCATGCATTGCTATTACAGTCATGCATTGCTTAGGGAGGTGCGTTCTCAGAAATGCATCGTTAGATTACTGTGCCATTGTGCAAACATAATAGGGTATACTTACACACACTGAGGCAGCCCTGATATCAATAGGCCCTATAATCTTATGGAACCACTGTTGTGTATGCAATCTATCATTGACTGAAATGCCATTATGCAATATGTCTCTACAACTTTTATTAGTAATTCTCAAGAAGGTGAGAGTTTTGGATGGTACTGCTTGATTTTTGCCCCCAAGTTCTTTTCCCCAACTGGATGGTAAACCCAGCTGGAGTGAGATCAGATTGTGTGGGGACCATGTCCTGTTCAGATTAACTGATTCAGCCCTGTTCCCTACATATTTCTGGCTGATAAGAGGTGAAAACTCGATGAGGGCATATCTGCCAGATGAGCGTTGTGCTGAGGAAATGAGGAGGAGAATACACAGCTGGATGATGTTTAGACAAATGGCTTTTCCCCTTAAAAAGAGCAGGATTTGGCTCAGGTTAATCCATACTGGAGAGAATTATTTTCAAAACAGTTTTGCCAGGGATACATGGTACAGAGCGACTTCCTCACCTCTCCCAGTTGAGGAATGAAAATATGTAATGATGGGGGAGATGACTTGTATTAAATCTGTAATTGTTGTTGACGCTGCTTTCTTACTGAATCCTAACAGCTCTGTCCTTTGCTTTCCACATCAGCTCACACCCCAGACAACAGCTTTCTGGGGTTTGTGGTCGAGCAACACCTGAACTCTAGCGACATCCATCATATTAATGAAATCAAAAGACAGAACCAGTCCCTTGTGTATGGCAAAGTGGATAGCTTCTGGAAGGTGAGTCAGCTTGTGTGCATGTCACTCTCTCTGAAAAGAAGCTTATTGGGTAATTTAATTTAACTTTGATCCAGGAAGTAATCAAGCCAAGTGCCCAGGGCTTAATGGGATCTGCTTATACGTAAACGAGAATGTTCTGGGGTTTGTTTGCTCCAACATTTGGACAACTAACCAAGCCTGTTAAATACATCCGTCCTTACAGTGGCTTTACACAAACCCTTTGGTCTCTGTACGTTGGCAGTGACACATCACCACTTCTTTCACGTCTTGCACAGAAGGGCCAATGTCCGAAAGTTCCACATCCACAGATTCAACCTGGTGGATTGAAAATATTCTGAAAAAAAAAAAAAAGATTGTGTCTGTACTGAACATGGTCAGACATTTTTTCTTTTCATTATTCCCTTAACAATATAGTATAGCAATTATTCACATGTTAGGCATTATAAGTAACGTAGAGATGATTGAAACTGTAGGCGAGGATGTGTGTGTGTTCTATGCACATATGTGCTATTTATGTAAAGGACTTGAGCATCCTTGGTATTGGGGGGTGGGAGAAATGTTCCTGGAACCAACCCTTCCCGCATATTGAGACACAATGACACTTGCTTCTGAGAGCCAGGGCCCTACAGGGTTTGGGTATCTTTCTGGAGCTAGCCATGACACACACAGGCCCTTCATCAGATGAGTCTTTTTCATCTGCCCCTGGGAAACCGTCTGCGAAAATAGTCAGCTCCCTTTCCCCATAGGCAGGCCTCACCTTACCTGGAAAGGGAATGCCTACCAGGGCTGACTGGAAGCAATTTGCTCAGGGAGGCCTTGGATGCAGCAGACTGAACCAGGTTTTTCAAAAGCTTTGTGCTGTTGGGCCCCAGGGGACCTCTCGGCCCTCCCGGGAGGATTTCCATGTGGGAAAGGCAAAACACTAGAGGAACCTGAGTGGGTCTGACCTATTGACAGGCAATGCAAATGCTTTTATTTGGCAAGACAGCTTCAGTAGGTAAATGCCATTATTCTGAGGAAATGTTTTCTTGGACAGAAATCTTCAGGACTTCAAAACATGCCTCTTCCTAAATGGTGAATTAAACCTTTTTTTGGAATGATCATAAACTGTGTTCTCATGTTATCATGTCTCTCCTATGGAGGATGATGGAAATCCTACAACTGAGGGCGTGTTCGGGACGGTGTGGCTGTAAAGTACGGTAGTTCTAACTGGAGACAGTTTTATGCACCCACCCCTAGGGGACATTTAGCAGTGTCTGGAGAAAGTTTTGGTTGTCATGGCTGGGTGGCATCTAGTGGATGCAGAAGTAGGGATGTTGTGAACATCCTGAAGTATATAGGATGGTCCCTAGTACAAAGAGTTACCTGACTTAAAAATAGCAGTAAGTGCCAAAGTTAAGAAGCCCTGGACTGGTAAAAAAGGAATTCTTTCCTACATATATGACAGGTTGAGCATTCCTAATCCAAAAATTTGAAATCCAAAATGCTTCAAAATCTAAAGCTTTGTGAGTGCTGACATGATGACATAAGGTGTGGGAAATTCTATGCCTGATCTCATGTATTAGGTCACATTCAAAACTCAGGTGCACTAAATATATTGCATAGAATTACCTTTCGGCACTGTGTATAAAGTGTATGTAAAATGTATGAATTTTGTGTTTAGACTTGGGTTCCACCCCTAAGATATCTCATATGTATTTCAAAATCTGAAAAAAATCCAAATTCCAAAGGACTTTTGGTTCTAAGCATTTTAAAAAATACTCAACCTATATTAAACACTTCCTCCTCTGAAGTAAAGTAAACCAGATTATAACTGGTTATTTGATACGTTCCCGTGAATTAATGCATCTTTGTTTTCCCTGTATCAAAACATGCCTTTTGTTGATGGTACATTTTTTCAGCAGACTTTCAGTCGAGCCTGGGTTAACAAGGCCATGTTGGGTGTCCTTATTCTTGGCTTGGATGGATGAATCGTGGCACTGGCCTTAGGAATATCTGCACTCTTAAATGGTAAAACTCTCTTCTCCCCTCTGCTGCTCAGAGAAAAGAGCTTGCATGTCTGAGTGGACTTGACATTGAAATTATATCATTTCTGGTTTGGAATCAAGTGCAGTCCCTTCTGGGTGCCTCTAGTAACCTTTTCTGTTTGCCTAGAAAAAAAAAATACATTAGCTCCAAAAGCTTTTTGGTTACTTGCTTTGGATAAATTAATACTGCTACCCAAAACCATCCTTAATGTCATCAGGAGCCTTGATGGAGTCAGAATCCCAAAAGTATTAGCCCTGTTGCCCAATGGTTAGAGATATGATTCAGAAATTCTTTTTTATTGTGAGGTATTAAAACTCTGCAGGTAACTCTCTATCCACATACCACCCAAGGATTACACTTTGAGATCAGGTACCGAAAGTACACTGAAATTACATATGTTGTCTATAATTTTAATAAACGCTAATGAAATGATACTTATTAAGATACCATTATTTAAGCCTACCAATACAGTAGGACCTTTTGCAGCTTTTTAAGCTACTGTTTTCATATCCAAGCCAATTTATGTTTGACCTTTGGGTTGCAGGGGCCTATAAAACTGAACTTCCCTCTACTGACCATTGATAAATTGCATGTAAGCATCCTTCTTTCTGGATATAATTAAATTTTTAGAGGTTAAAATAGCTTAAATGGGAGCAAATAAGCTGACCTCATGAAATAAACTAGACAAAGCCAACAAGTATTAAGAATGCTGAAGATTATTTCCACAATCTTTTATTATGATGATTATTTATTGGTTTTTTTTTTTTTGAGATGAGGACTTACTGTACAGCCCATGCTGACCTTGAACTCACAATCCTTCTGTCTTCACTTTCCAAGTGCTGGGATTACAGCACGCACCAGCATGTCTGGCTTCTCTTTTTTTTTTATACTATGAGTATGTCTGAGCTAACACATTTCCAGTGTAGAAAGGGAGCTTCTATGCACAGAGCTGTTGTAACTCTGTAGGAGCCTGGTGCAGAGAGGTGCCAGAGGGCATTGCCTGGCACTGGCTGTTCACACTCAGGCCAGGTAGACCAGTGTATATGTCAGAAGCTAGTGTGGACTGCACGTCATTTTTATTTCATCATGTTCTATATTAATTAGGGCAAAGTTTAGCTAATCTAAGAACATTTACTGTGCCTTAGAATTGCCTGAATCAAACATTTTTTTATTCTTCTACAAATGCAACTAATTTCCACCTACAATTATTTTTAAGCTGAAACACAGTTAAGTCAGTGGAAAAACAGGTGGGGCCTGGAGCTAAAAACATCTCACCACACTTGGGCACAGATCTGGTGGATCAGTCACTGGCTGGTGGTGGGGATGGCCAGCCCTAGTGGGCCTTCTCCAGAAAGGCCCTGCAACCCCAAGGCATATGGTACACCAGCTCGAGTCAGATTCGTTCCCATAGTAGAGATCTTCAATAATGAATTGTTGGGTGGGTCATAGTTTCCAAGTAGCTGAAGTCTAGCTTTGCAGCTTTTAACTTGATTACTTTTTCAGTGCAAATCTCTAATTGCTCTCCTCCATAAACAATACATAATTAAATGTAGTCAAGTATTCTCTGGTAACCTGTCAGGGAATGTGACTCATGGGCACGCACGCTCGCTCGTGCAGCTCTGCCCCTCAGAGTCAGCGGCGTCCCCACTTCGTTCTTGGGCTGGCCACACTGTCTGTCCTGGAATGTTTTTATCAGTTAAAATTTTTCTGAAAATCGCTTCTAGAATGGATGACTAGTAAAAGGTACCTAGACACACGACTAGCACCAGCTGGGGACCATGCTCATGTCATATTACTTGTTAATATATGATTGCCACCAAGGCAGACAAGGTGGAGGCCTTCCTCTGATAATAGCAGAACAAGCATGACCCTTGAGTCACAATCTGGGGTTTAGAGTTGAGCATCTTACCAGCCCATGAAGAAGTTAGCCATTTACATCTGTAAAATGGGTCAGCAACAACTACCATGTGAAGAAGGCTTCTCCATATTAGTGCACATGATCCTGGGGTCTTGTTAAAAATGCAGGCTCTCATTCAGACCTTCTGGGGTGAAACTGAGACCCTGTGGTGCCTACACATGCCCAGGTACTGTGCATGTGCTGTGAGCTCTTAGAGTAGCAAGGCATGGGGTGCTTGGGACCCTGTGGAGTGCTGGGCCCTAACAGATCAATTGGTGAATAAGTACTTCCCCTTGTCTCCTCACCTTTGCTTTTCTGCAACTCATGTCACTTCTGCTGCTGTTAGTGCCCAACTCCAGTCACTCCAACCCCAGTCCCCAAAGGCACATTTGCAAACCTTGCTCCTTTAGTCCATCCTCCCTGTCCCTAGAAGGGGATACAGCTCTGGACTCTCAGAGTTGATGAGAGAGCTACACTGTCTTCCTTGTGATCCATTGTCCTGATTTGTGTACTCAGGTGCATGCTGGGCAGTGTGGCACAGGGTTCCAGATTACTGACTTGAAGCCCAAGATCTGGACTCCAATCCTGGCTCTGCCACCAGCTGCCTGATCTTGGGCAGGGTGTACTTAACTTCTCTTGGCCTCATTTTTCGTAGGACTCATTCTTGGGTTTTTGTGATGATTAAATGAGTTAATCATTCAGAACAGGGCTTAGAACAAGGCCTGGCACATGGGAAGTCTAAATAAATGCCTGCTACTATTGTTAATATCATTATTGGTGCCAGATAGGAGATACCACAGCAGGAATTGGCGGGGCATGGATGGGAGTTGAGCCTGTGAGGCACTGGCAAATAGCAGCCTGCCCAAAGATCCTCAGCAGTCAGCAAACTCCAGCCCGTGAACCAAATCTAGCCCATGATCTGTTTTTGTAACTGACATTTTGTTGGAACACAACCAGGGCTGTTCATTGTCTATGGCTGCTTTGCACTAAAATTTTTTGCACTAAAATTGTAGAGTTGAGTAATGGTGACAAAGACTGTATGACCTATAGAGCTGACAATATTTACTGTCTGGCC